TATCAACAAAATCACGATCTTAAGACCTCTAAAAAAGTGTTTGCAACATCTTTATAAAGGTGAAGTCACGAGACATCTTCCGATTATTGCAAGAAGTGCGCCAGCAAACCTTCAGACCATAATCAGGCAGCAAATGTGATTACCAACAACATTTTAGAAACGATTTAAAAATAAAATTAATTGTAACAATAAATCATTACTATAGTTGTTATTATCTTACATCAATTTTTATCGAACCATGACTTGATCGGCGACGTCATGACCCAATTTTGTTATCTATTCGATATAAAAACATTTCAAGTTTAGACTATTTTTGATATTCTGGTTTTGAAGGGACTGCCATAATTACCTTGTTATTTTATCTGTTTATCTAAATTACCCACAATTAGAATAAAAATTATTTTTATTTATTGTTATTATAATTATAAATGGTTGCTTATGTTTATTAATGTGGAATATTAATACGTATACACGTTTTATATTTAATTAAATTAGTGCATGCTTGAATTTTTGTAATTGTACCATACACCAATTTATTTAAACAAACAATTCCAGAAGACAACTTAAAAATGCTCTTAGAATTTTAAGTTTTACATTACCTTTACATAATTAAAGGATTTACAGACAATTTACCTTTTCAGGAGATCACCTTAATGGAGATGACTTCTAAACGCAATGTATAATCATTAGAAAATAGGGTTATAAAAAAATGCTTTTCTAGTTTTTCAATCAGTAGGCCATTATCTCCTATTATGTAGTGGAAAATAAATAATCTAATGTTTATTTTACAATGTAATATGAAAGAAATGCCAAGGCCGTTCATAATCAGTAGTCAACTCTTGTTGTTCTGCAGTTCTGCAAGTAGACGATACATCTCTCACGTTTGATAAATAAAAAACACAAGCAATTTGCATGTACTCACGCCGCGGATAAATATTTAGTAAACATAAAGGGCTACAAGCAAACATATGTTGAGCATATGCATTTGTTTCGATATTTTGCTTAGATTATTTGCGACCTCCCAGTAAATCACATAAGAAGGCGTCCATTAATCACGTGAGGTTTTTAGAAAGAATAGGCGTTTGACAAAAATTCACAAAATATCACGTAGAGGAGGAAGGATATATTAACTTATTATGTGTAATTATTTTTTACCTAAATTTCTTGAAAAAATCCAAACATTTTCAAAAAAAATTAAAAATTTTACAATTTTTCTCGTAACTAAAAATACATGTGATATTTGGTTAGGGAGAGGAGGGGTATTGACGAATATCACCACGTATCACCAAGGGGGAGAAAGTGTCCAAAAATCCTTAAAAAATCGATCACGTGATTAATGGACGGCACCTAGGTTGCTATTACGTTGTAGGTGCAAGACCTACTATCTACTATCGACCTACTATCGATCTAATCACAAATTTGTCATACTACACGAAGTGGATTCTTACATATTCATAAAATTATCAAAATTGTCACATTTTACTGCAAATTCAGTTTAAAATATAATGGGAATCAACTTATTTCCAATTTATTATTTTCTTAAAAGCTCTACAGTGAATAGATGTGACCATGTTTTACTTTATCCTCGTTCCTCATTTCTGAATATAAAACAGTGTGAAGAACCTGTTGCAGTTTTGTGCAAGTCGCAAGAAGTAGCTAATTTAATTAACATCAGCCTCATATGGGTTTTTGAGCAGAACAGTCGGCCAGCAAACTCTTTTCTTGTGCAAAACGTTGACCGTGAATAAGACATGGCAAGTTCAACTCGGTGCAATGAACTTTTCGCCAAAGGATGTGCTGGTAAATTTACAAACATTTCTTAAAGCTTTGGAGAAAATGGTCCACGATGAAAGACCAAATAAGTTTTTCAAAATATTCTAATTCGTAATGCTCAGATGGCTCACATATTGTAATCGATCTAGTATATAGAGTCTACTCTACATGGTATTTCTCATGAAAAAAATCATGTTTGTGTTGATATTAAACTCGAATTTTAAAATTTGTTAATACAACATATACTAGATATATACAACATATACTACATAAAAATATACTAGATAACCCGACAGACGTTGTCCTTAACCCACTTCTATAATTTAAAACTTCCAATTTTTTTAATATGCTATCCTATACTTTTTAATATCCTATTTGATGTCCTGTCTTTGTGATTCATTTATTCATCTTACCACAAAAAAATCAGAAAAAAATAATATGGTACTTGCGGTAAAAGAACAATATCGCACTTGATTTTACTACACAACATAATTGCTTCAATAATTCAGTCTATAACTTTGATAATCTCGTACGATATATTAAAAGCTTTCTGGCCATTATAATTTCTAACATACATTTTTCTTACTAATAATTTAATAAACATTATTGTTTATGTTCAAATCTTAGGTGAATTAATTTGTAAAATCTAGTTCATATGAGCTCTCTTCAATCTAGGATTAACTTGCTAAATATTCCATTATACAATGCCAAACAAATGAATTTTTGACACATAAAATAATATTCTAAATCATTTTTTTAATAAGTAGAAATAATTTTTTTATATTGTTAAATAATTTAGTAAAGTAAGACAAAAAGCGACATATATAAGTTTAAAAAAATAATGTATATGCAATTTTGGACTTATTGCTTTAATTATTAATCCGAATTATATATAATTTCATCTGCCCAACATATACTGTATCTTATATTATTTTAATTTCTGGTACATCTCAACTGCTTTTCGGCAATAATAATGTAGACATTACATTTTTCTTGTATATTATGTTCTAATATTATCTAGGCTCATAATTTCAATTAAATTCAAATTTCAAGTAAATTGACATTTCTAGCAGATGACAGTTCAAATATTTTCAATGTCCAACAATGATAAGTGTTTTTTTGTAATTTTCGCCAATTATTTCTACGACATCACTATAGTTTTATCGTTCATTAAATCCTAAAAAATCCTTTGACAAACTCTAAAAAAATTTATCAAAATCCGAATAACTGTTTAGGAGAAGTATCAAATCATACACCCGTACAGAAGAATTTTATATATAAGATATTCAAATATTCTAATAATAATAAAATGTTCAATTATTTGCTATTTATTTTATTTACATTTATATTTATAAAATTCCCGGATTTTTTATTTATAGTCGTCACAATAGGAAATAACATTTGATTTGAAGTAAGATTATTTATGGGTACTTAAATATAGCTTACAAGGAAAATCATAGAAGCGTGTAATTACATAATTCAAATGTTTAAATTGTTCAAAAGAAATCCGCAGATTGGATGGCTATGGATATTTATATTAGTGGTTACACCGTGTGAATATCAAGATTGATGTTCTTTCATTTCAATGGATTTACTTTGTACCGGAAGACAATTTTATTGCAGCATAAAGCAATAAAGTTAAAATAAAAAGAATCATTTATATATGAGAAATGATAAAGTTTTATTATCTTATATGTATTAATAATTGTTATAATGTTTATACATAAAAGCTCAAAAGAAAGTTCATTGACATTGTTCGCCCCATCATATGAGCAAAAAATTAGTGATAAATTAAGTGAATATATTGGTACATTGGTAAAACCTCCAAAGGTTTAAAGATATACCAAATATTACAAATATTTAAAAATTCAAATTCAATAAATTCAAAAGTTTTTGATTATTTTGTGTTATTTATAACAAAAATTTCTAACTTCTCAAATATCTGAAAGTAGAGTAAGGATTATGCATTAAAAGCTTGAGATTTTTATCTGAAGAAAATGCTTCCATCAAACTCAATAGATCAAGAATAATTCATTCATTCAATTTCATTTTATTTCCCTAT